ATTGGGGAGTTAGATTTAAGTTAAGATTGGGCGTGTGTGTGGATGAACAGAATTATTAATTAATTTTAACAAAATATAGTTATGAATGTAGACTTTGCGATTAACATCATTGTTAACGGAGCATTGACTTGTTTTAGGGATGATTAGGGTTTTGGGCTGAAACTTGTTCGTAATTAGAATGACTAAGTTTTTCCACTTAAGTTCAACTTCTCTTGGATCCAGTCTAATATCATTAAACACGGCAATAAAGGTAACTGTACTGAAGCGCTTTGATCTGTATTGTATTTTGTTAAAACTCTTTCTCACTGATCTTGGAGTGTGCCACCGCGTAAGAGTGAATTGTAGTTTTTAAGTAGATCTGACTTGATATATTATGTCCTTTATATGCCAATTACAAGCTTCTGTGAAAAGTCAAAAAAGCGCCTTGCCTGAAATCGGGGCATCCACCTGAAACACAGACAGCGAAGGCAACGATGAAGCTTTTAAGTAAAACCTCATCTGATTTCTTACTGTTGGTTTCAGTTTCGACGACAATCATCAAATCTTCTGTCCATTTATTGCAACTGGCACAATTTTTCACAATCTCATATCTTTCCAGCTAGCTCGAAATGCTATGTTTTCGATGTTTTGCTAATGGTGCGAAGCTCTGCTTCAACTTTGCGTTCAAAACACAAGTTTTCAAGACAACTTAGCCTAATTGTTGTGATAAGCTTAATAAATAGTTTCATGTGATATGATACGCTCATAATGGTACGCTTGTAAGAAGAAGGCCCGGTACGGGATTTTAGAGACAAGCTCGTCAAGCAGCGATACTCCCCCTCTACTCGGAGATCTCCGCCGGAACCTCCACCCGTAAAAATTAAGTTGTAATCGCTTTCATGTTTCTTTTGTTATTTTTTTTTAAAAATTATTTCTCAACAATCCATTTTACAATCTCTTCTTTCTCTTGTTTTGCCTCTTTGTACCCTGATAAGTGAGGTTCCATGCCAAAGTACAGGCCGAAGTGGCTACCCAAGTGGAACAGGAAACTTGTAGGAGGAATCTCAAAGACCAAGTACTGCAGCCCCAAAGATGTCGGAGCCACGGTTTACTCGTACAGAGGTGCAAAGCTAGCTGACCTTGCCGCTACTGTCTCGCGCTACTCCTCGCAGAAACTGAACTGTGTTACTATAGTAGCTGGATTTATAATAACTCATCTACGGTTTCAGACTTTGCTAATGATTGGAGATTTTTAATAAATTTGACAATTCATAAGTTTAACCCAAATGTGCTAATTATCCCCAAAACCATCCTTTCGGCAAAATATCACTTCACAACTAGAAAACTTGGTGCTCTAAATAACTCTGTTTTGCCTTATTAATACATTTTACCACTCAAGAATCCGAATTATTTCCCCCAATCTAAACGTTAATTTTAGTGCTAATATGTTCCGTAAAGGTTGGTATTCATTTTTCTTTTTATGCTAGAAAAAATCTTCAATTTATTGGTCACTCAGCTAACTTGTAAATATTCATCATAAATTTAGCCTCCTCGCTGCCAAATTATGGCCGATCAAACGCACTGCCATATCTGCAAACGCAACCTCCAAAAAGGAGGCGTATGGTGTGTCATTTGCAAAGCTTACATCCATGAATCATGTAGCGGGGAGTCATCTACAGAGCAGCAAATTTTATTACGATGGGTTTTCCTGCATAAAACGCACTTCGAAAACTTTGCAAAAGAGCCCAACTCCAACAACAGACCAACAAGCACAGCCCCCATCACAACTCAAAAATCAACAAGCACAGACCCCATCACAACTCAAAAAGAAACATCACCATCAACAACCTAACAAACGTACTGCCCAACGCAACACAATCTTATCCATCGCCCCCAGCAATCACTACAGCCCCCTTCGACCCCTGGAAACTTATCGACTAAGAACTTGAACTTAAAATAAACGACATATATAAAAATGTCGTTAACTGGAAATCGCGCTTCATAATTCTGAGCAAGAACAAGGCCGGTTTCTAATTCAAAGAATTACTGAACCAGCAGCTGTTGTCATTAGTAGAAGAAACACCAAGTTCTAACGTCGCAATGAAAGCAGCAATGATTCTCCCACATCTGCTGCTCCCAAAACTAAATCAGAAACAAACGGATCAAATTCTAAAACACTAAACCGCCGCATAATTTAGACGAAGGCCTATTAGACGAACTTTCCACTGAAGCGAACGCACTCCAAATTAGACATCTAAAACAGAAAAAGTCTGAAGTAAACGAAAAAAATAAGCAAATCAATAAACTAATGAGTACAGGCAAAACATCTGCCGCCAATGGCTGCCTTTCAGACAAGAAAACAAAAGAAAACTTCCCCTAAATGAAATCATTGAAAGAAAAACATCCTCAGGCCAAAAAAAGAACACTAACAATATAACTGAAGTACGTGAAAACAAAATGCCATACCACACCTCTATATTCGAACAAATAAACGCCAAGACAGTACGAAAATTACCCTAAAAACGCACGGAAGTCACGGTCCCTCAGTTCTAGATGCGTGCGAATGGAGAAGGATATTAACTCACTTCAACCAGACATCCATTGAGCTTTGCAAAACAATTGCTAAACTATCCTATACAATAGCAACTAAAGTTCTACCCCAAGAAAACCTAAAGAAGGCTGATACCTCTGGACAAAAATCCATTGGCCCATTGGTATAGGCGAAGTTCTGAGAAGAATAATTGGCAAAACAATCACCCAATGTATCAAATCAGACCTTAGTAATCTCGGAAAAAAATTCCAACTCTGCTTAGGCCAGAAGTGTGGAATCGAATATGCTATCCACAGGTTGAGGAACGAGTTTGAGAAACCGGAAACGGACGCCACACTACTTATTGATGCAGAAAATGCCTTCAACTTGCTCAAAAGGGAACTTGCTCTAAAAAACGTAGAATCCTTTGTCCGGCGCTGGCCAACTCATATAAACATCCCACAAATCAATATGTCAATAACACGATTTTGACATCTACGAAAGGCACAACGCAAGTTGATCCCTTCGCAATGGCTATGTACGGAATTGGGATAATCCCACTGATTGAGCTCCTGTGAAAACCAAATGTCACCCAAAATGGCACGCAGATGATGGAAGCGCTGCAGGTGATCTTAGGAGTCTCCGCGCAATACTGGACAACCTGGATGTCCAACGAAAGGCTTTCGAAAACAATGTGAAGCCTTATAAGTGTCAACTCATGGTAAAAGAAAACCGTCTCGACAGCGCCATAAAAATTCGAAGGCACAAACTTAACAATGGTAGACGGTTTTAGAGTCTTTGGATCGGTTATAGGAACACCATCAGCATGCGATAAGTACTTGCGAAGCGAAATTGAGAAGACAGCTACCCTAACTGAAAAGCTTTCCAAAATAGCTAAAAAATCACCGCAAAATGCGAACTCCTGCTACACAAACTAAGATTAAAATGAGGTAAACTTTCTAACCAGAACAACTCCGGAAGCATTTAAAAAAATTGATGAATTTGAGAAAAATGTAAGCTATCAGCTACTTCCTAGTATTACTTGTAAAAACCATATAACCGATGAATAACGCACCCTTTTTGCACTACCACTAAAAATGGGAGGATTAGACCTCCTCAGTAACACGGACTTTTCCAGAAATTATGAGTTGTCACAAGCCATTTGTGATCCGTCAGAAAACAGTGATCCAGAAATAGCTGAAACGGAACAAACTCTGAAACATCAAAACTGAGAGACAGAACATCACACTCTCAAAAAAGGCTAAAATTATCGAAAATTGCTCATCAGAAAATAACAGACAATAAATCTGGCGTCACGGAAAGGAGCATCGAATTGGCTAAGCGTGCAATCCTTAAAAAGATACAAAGTTTTCCCTCAACAAATCAGAGTTTAAAGATGGATTATATCTGAGATATGGATGGGAACCACCAAACACCTCACAAACATGCCCATCTGGACAATCGCTCAAACTGACCCACTCTCTACACTGTCCCAAAGGTGGATACACTCACCTAAGACAATGAAATTCGCGATACCTTTGCGACACTCCTGGACGAAGTTTGCCATGATGTTGAAATAGAGCCGAAACTTCAATTGTTGGAAGGCGAAAGCTTTCACAACTAAACAACCACTACTGAAGAAGAAGCTCGACCCGACATCAAGGAAAATGAACTCTGGGGAGGCCGATTCGGTCGAATTTTTTTCGGTGTAAAAACTTTCAACCCCCATGCTAAATCCTGCCCCAAAACTATATCTGACGCCTACAAATATCATGAGAGTGTCAAAACATTAAAATACCAACTAAGAATTCTGGACGTGGAGCACAGCAGCTTTGTTCCACTAATTTTTTGCGTGTACCGTAGGAGCAGCAACAGGCTCTACAAAAACCATCCAGAAACTAGCTGAGAGACTAAGCGAGCAACGGAACGAATAGTTTTCGGACAGAATAAACTTTATAATAACAAAAATAAGTTTTGCACTTCTGAGGAGTGCAATCCTCTGCCCTAGGGGGTGCAAAAATCTTTAAAAAATACAATACAACATAGACAATTCTATTTGTGCTATAATCGAGGAGTGTAGATTTTAATTGACAATTCTCTTGATGCATTGATATCGACTTGATTTATTCATAAAATTTTGCCGATATATTTATATAGCGTTGGTACGACCCTATCCAACCTGTGCACGTACCGTCGCATGACGGAAGGGCCCATCCCATATCTTTCCAGCTAGCTCGACATGCTATCTTTGCGATATTTTGCTAATGGTGCGAAGCTCTGCTTTACCCTTGCGTTCAAAGGGGTAATCAGAAGGTCAAAAGTATCATAGTAACCGAGGTTACAGCTAGGTTCAAAACACAAAATTTCAAGACAACAATTATGTACTCGTTTTTCTACATTTGTTTTTTGAAAATCTATGTTTTTGAGGTAGTATTGCCTTTTTAATCTTTATCCATAGATATTCATCATTCTATATGATTTTATAGAAACGATGATCAACTTGAAAGCAGTTGGATTGACAGGGCTTCCGTTGGGATGTGGAATGATCATTGGCCAGTTGTTTGGGCCCAAGGTAGGAAATACGAAAGACTGGTACCAAAAACTGAACTTCCCGGTGTACAATCCTCCTGATTGGGTATTCCGACCTGTGTGGGCATCACTCTATTCTATGATGGGTTATGCGTCATATAGAGTTTTGTGCGAGGGTGAAGCTGGAGTTGATATTACAAAAGCCATGACAGCGTATGGGTCGCAACTCGCCATTGGACTGACGTGGGTTCCCTTGTTCTTCTCGGCGCACAAGCTGAAATCGGTAATCTTAGACATTTTCCAACCTGTTTTGTTTTTTTTCTTCAAAGTATTCAAAGGATAGCCGTTTTTTATATGCGGAGTGTGATGAAAGGAGCTCAAGAATACGTTAAATTTAGGCATGTTTGACAGTCACAGTAAAATAGGCAAATTCGGACCTTCTGTTGGAAACTTTTTGAAAAACTAAAATGAACTTAAAATGAATTTCATTTTTATAAAAAGTTTTCCTGCAGAAATTGCTTAGAATTTTTGAAGTGTTTATTCCAATAATGGCGCTAAAAATTTCAAAGAAAGATTTAAAACTTTCTTGGCTTATCTTTTTACAATAAGCATGTTGGCTTCTTTTAATCGCTTACAATTACGCTAAAAGTCAAAACTTCAAACCGTTTGTTCTTGACACTGGGACAACTTATTGAATTTTTTAATGTCGTTCGAATCAAGATTGAAAGGGCTTCTTTTGTGATAAATCATTCCTTCGATTACGATTATTATTTGTTATAAATTTTTGGTTGAAAAACAAAAAACCCTGCTAACTCACCTAAATAGCCTGCTGGAAGTTAGAACAACAACAAAAATTTCAAACTGTTTTATCTTGACTCCGAGAAAGTTTTGTAGAAGATTTTAATGTCGTTAGAATCACGACTGAAAGGGCTTCAATATGATATATCATCCGACCCATTCCTCATTCCCTCGAATCATTGTGGTTCCGGATTTGCGTGGAAAACAAAAAACTAAACCACACCCTAATACAGATATCTTGCCCATTTTCAAATGGTCGTAAGGTTGTACCTTTTTTTATCATTAGAAAGATGTAGCAACGCATTTGGACAGGCCGAAAGAATCAAAAAGAGCAATTAATCGATTGAGTGAGAAAATTGCATGCAACTTTGAGTTTTTCGGCGACCTTGAAACATAAAGTCTTTCAAGATTGTTTTTTTTTATTGCGTGGAAAAATTTTCCAATTCAGGTTATTTTTTTTTCTGTTGATTCTACCGAAATTTTGGCAGCTCTCTATAGGCCTTTGAAGTTTCGCGTTTGATTTTTGTTGACATTTTATGAGTGTTTGATCTCTAAAAATTGCATGGCGGTTGAAAATTATTTCGAAGTTGTCGGCATGAAATTTTCAAAAAAAGATGTCTCAAAAGCACAATCATTTTTTTCTTTCCTCTTCACGTAAGCTGAGCGTAGTGCATTAATACAGTGTACCTTTTTTTATCATTATCTGGATTGTGGTGTAATATTACGATGCAGGTTTTTTCTAACCTTAGTAGCAAATGAAAGTGCTCATTTGGTGGCTCTTCGTATATATTTCCAGCCGTAGGAAATAGCATCTGTGGCAGCTTTGTTGGTGGCTAGTGTTCAATTTAAAGAACTGGTTCTGGGATTTTCACTACATAAGCGACTGCGCGCTTTATTTTTAAAGAAAAAGGTATGACCTCAGAAAAGACCATTTTTGAATTTTCTGTCGTTTTTGTGACACTACCAGATCTGGGATAAAGGTTCAATCATAAAAACAGGTTTTTTAAATGTTTTTAATGTCGCTTTTTCAAGTATGTTTTTAATTTTGTTCGAATCAAGGTTGAAAGTGCTTTATTATGATATATATTTCCCTCCATTACGATGATTAATTGAGGTATTTTTTTTGGTTGAGAAGCAAAATGAGCCTGCTCGCTCATCTTATTCGCTTGAAATCAAAAATCTCAAACGTGTTTTTTTTCGAAGCTGAGTTTTTTTCAAATTTTTAAAATGCTGTTCCAATCAGGGCTAAAAGGGCTCAAATATGATATTTCACTCGACCCATTTCGATTAGTATTTGTGGTACTTGATTTTTCGTTGAAAACTAAAAGAAAAAAAAACAAATTTACCCGAATACTACGTTCCTTCTCGTTTTTCAAATGGTAGCAACAACAACCCTCATGGTGCTTGGAAATGTCAAAAAGTCTGTCGACAAGAAGAAGTGCAAATATTTTTTTTAATTAGTCGTTTGAGGCAGATGAACCTTAAGAGTTAGTTTTGCCGTTTGATAGCTGAAACGCTTTTTTGAAAAATCAATTGAAATTTCAGCGCCATTTTGCTGTCTGAAGGTCAATTATTTCAAAAAAAAATTTAAGTTTAGGACGTTGTCCAATACATTTATTTAAAACTATATGCAGCTAGTGACCGATAGCTTAGTTGTTTGAAATGACAAAGCTGTCAATCAATCCTTAAAAACTTTCTAGACGCTTTCCACTCCAATGCTGTACGTTTTCAGGGGGTATTCGTTGCTAGGTACAAAATTCACAAATGCTTAACCGTTGAAATGGTTCATTATAGAGTAGCAGTTTGTTACTAGGTACCAAAATGGGAATAGTTTGAGATCCAAATTTTAAGTATAATTTTTTTGAAAAGAATCATAGAACTTCTCTGAGTTCGTACCCTTCGTTGCGATTTCAGTCCGCGGCTGTGGTGACCGCTTTTGCGGGTTGCATCGCATGGACTATCAAAGAGTTCGCGCCCATAGATGTAGCTGCCAGCAGGCTCATGTACCCCGCAATGGCGTGGGTGAGCTTCGCTACTGTTCTCGGTTGGCACGTCGCCTACCTCAATGAAGACAATAAGGCGCTGAAGGAAGAATAGAATGAAGATGGATAGTCAGTAGACAAAAATGTGTCTGAAACAAAATAGATTCAATTGAGTAGTAAACTTATTCAGGAATGGAAGACAGTCGATCAAATTATAGATAGTCGTTGAGGTAGTCTCAATTTGTAGTGTCACCTTTGCACGAGTTTGTAAATAATGTCAAATTTCCTTAGGTTATATTATGTTATTGGGGTTTTCTTTTCGGTTGAATGTCCGCGCTCAGTATTAAAAAATCAAAAGCTGTTGAATTAGACTGCTTATTGGCTCATATGAGCTGCACTACAGGTTTGTGCGCTTACTATACTAACTATGTTCGGCCAACATTAAAAGCGATAGATCTGAGCTTGACTCGACTGAAAAAAAATCTCAACAAATCTCAAAAAAAGAAGACCTATGCCCGAGTTTCATCTCTTCTAACAGTAGTTTGCAAGTTTCTGAAGTACCTGTTTTCTGAAAGTTAAATGGATATGGTGAATCTCCATTGTGAGCCATATTAAATTTTTCACAACCTTGTATGAGTAATTAATCATTTAGTGCAATTTACGATGCCAAGTTATCAAGCAGATCATAGCTAGTCAATTATTAATTCTTTTCAACATTGCAAAAGCAAGTGTATTGTAATTTTTTTCAAATGTTTTGGCTAGCTATGATTTGAATATTGCTTTCAAGTCATCCGTGCAATGTTGATCAGTATAATGCATAACTAATATCTACTCAATTGCTTGTAATATAGTTTAAAAAAAACTTAGTTTTCCGTGTTCCCAAATATTGCTGAACGAAGCAAAGGCTTCAATTTGAACATCTGAACAAACGAGTTGAGTATTCAGTTGTTTAGGCAGTGGTAAATTTTTTTCGAGATGAAGTCTTTAATTTGGTTTTCGCTAAGTTTAAAGTTTGGTGGTTTGACTTTTGATTGTTGAATACTTCTTGTGTAACTCATTTTATTTAAAAAAGGCTAACTACACACGTGCAAAGTTGCGTGAAAAATTAAATTTAACTTCTGGTTTAAAATATTATTAAAATGGAAAAGCGCATGCCCGAGGTTTCAAGACTTTAGTTCGGTTCTCTGCATCACCTTTTGTTTTGCACTTTTTTCAACTGAAAAAAAATATATATTTTTTTGCTCGTGGTTTCTCGGCTTCATTGTTTTTTGTTGAAGACATGCCAGTTTAATTCTCGAATCTTGAATTTCGTTAAAGTTAGCGAGCGTGTTCAAGTAATGACGTTTGTATAAGCATTCTCAGGCTTTATGTATGCACTTGGATTAGCAAAATTTATCAAATGGCAACATACTGTTTTAAAGGTAGCAAACAACTTGTCAAACAAAATCTTCTGAATCTTTTGTGCCAACATCTGGCCAACATTCTGAACAATTCTGCATTTAAAATTTCGATTATTTTCGAAATTTAGTCTTATATTGGCGGTAATTGGGAGAAACTATTTCGTAATTTCGAAAAAAAAACAATTGTTCTTACCAATTTGCATGCAGTTTTTTTCTTTTTTGAAACAGAGTTTTTTAGCCTGTCTATTCACTGCAGTGGTAGATGTTTCCTTAATCTTTTGGGTGTTTTGAAGTTCTGATACAGCAGTTTTGAAGGCAGAGAGGCAGATATAGTTTGTTGATCGTGTAGTGCGTGGATTCTGGAACACTGCGGGTGGTAGACTATTTCACGCTTGTAAGGCTTTCAGCCAGCGGGTATTTTGGGCACAATCTTTCGCTGTTCGCCTAATATTGATGTGGAACGGGTGGCGTCTTGACTGCCCTCTAGTCAGTTTCGCTGAAACACTGCAATCGAATTCGAGATACTTTGCTCTGGGTCGGCCTCTTCTGGGCTATAAGTTGGTACAAAATTGTCAACTTACAAAAAGTTGGTACTAATATATAAGTTTTAGTTGCAATTGCCAATAGTTCAAGCAGTAAATATATGCGGAATCTTAACAGCTGAAGTGTTTTAAGATAAACGCATCTGATAACCTCAGCAAAAGGAGAGGCCATTGTCAGTCTTGAATCTAGTTTCAGACCAAGAATAGTAGCCGTTTTTCATGCAGTCCAAATTATGTTCGCTCATTCTTGGTACTTTCCATTGTACTTTTGTGTTGTCTAGTCCAGGTGTTCACGCGCATAAATGGTAGAACGCTCCATTAATGTCGGTTTGCAGTTTGTTCCACGCATCTCTGTTGTTCATCGTGTTCAAGCAATCTGAGACCATGGACCACATACAGGCCACGGTCGAGTAACCAGGCTGGAACGCTGCTTGAGGTGGAGGATTAACGCCTGCTAACTGCGCGTGATTAAGTAACTCCCGTGCAATAGTCTTTTTGAATACGCGGGTTGTTACCTCTAACAACGCAATAGGGCGGTTGTTCACAAGTTGTGCCTTTGACTTGAGTTTGTGGATGGGTACAACGTTGAGGAGATTTTCCATCGTTTGCGCCATTTACCGGTTTCCAACATGCATCTATACAGCATCGTCAGTGGGATCGCTAATGAGCTCGCCAGCTCCATGAAGACACGCGGGCTAATCTGAAACGGACCGCCGGCTCTGCAGGGGTCTAGAGTTCTGAGTATCTTCAGAACTTCCTTGTGCTGGATGTCGACTGCCTAGATTGGTAACATGGGACACATCTGGTCTTGGTTGATAATCTTCATCGACCGGTAGTGACATCTTGCTTCTGAAATGTGTCGCAAATAGTTCTGCCTTGACCGCGCCGTCAGTAACAAACTTGTCTTCTGCTCTAAGTGGTGGAATACGCGCAGCTTCGCCATGGACTGCAACGATGCAGTTTTGAGTAACTGGGCGTATTTCTTTAAAGACAGGTAGGGTTGTTTTCTCCAGTTTTTTCCTTCGATCATCACGGTACTGCTTTTGTATGTCTTGTATCACAGCTAGACAGGCAAAACGCAGTTATTGACTAGAGGAATATCGCATCTTGTCATATGCCGCGTAACACCTCGAGTCCCACTACGGCGTTGCGGTCTGCTGCGCGTTTCCGTTCTTACTGCGAACAAACTTCTTTATGCCCTCGGATAGAAGCTTTTCTCAATCTAGTTGATACTGATACGTCTGGAGTTACGTGATTTGGTTTGTTTCGCCTGATATATGTATGTAGGAATTTTAATTTTCTGTATTTTTGGTCTACCTTGAATGTCTGACGGCTTAGTTTTCGTTTTTTTTGTCAGTCTTTCTTTACGATGAGCAAGTGTCTTGTAATCGGGAACCAGAAATTTTTTCTTACATCTCTTACTTGCTTTCTAATAGAAGCTTGATAACTTAGACTCGTTCCGTGGCATAGAGGTAACGCCGTTGCGTATGTACCCAAAGATTTGGTGTTTGAGTCTCGGCCGGACCTGTTTTTTTTTCGGTTTATCTGAAGCTGACATTTTTTTTTGACCGGGAAACATTGAATTGTCGCACTTTCGTTTGCCTTACCATTTTTGTTGGCTTTGTTATTATATCGGATAACCAAGCCGACAATTTTCCTGTGCTTTCAGCATTTTCATCGAACACGCATGTGTTTTTGATTTACTCCTGTAATTTGAAAATAGACCTTATGTTGTATCTTTTTTTGGTTTTCCTTTGTTTTTTCGCTTTTAAGCTTTTTTTTGGCCTAAGTGGTTGCAGCTTGTGTTGTATCGGCTTAGTCAGTTCATTTTATGTTGCTTCAAAGGCAACAAAATGATTTTTTTGAAAAATTTAGGTAGTTGGTGTTGCAAGCTTCCAAAATTTAAAAAATGCATTGATTTTTTTTTTGGATCAATGGGCGTCTACTCACTTGTTGTCGGCTTATAAGCCGCTGGGTAGTTACCAAAAGCTTATTTGATCATATTGGTTGTGTTTTCGACGTTAGGAAATTATTTTCATGTTTTCCGCCCTATTTTTTTTTCGATTTTGTTTCCGTATTATTTTCTTTTCGCTAGCTTGCAATGCTGTACTTGCGTTGTATCGCAAGTGATGCGAAGCTCCGCTTTGCATCTGTGTTATTGTTGTTTTTAGGTTTCCAGCCATTAGAATGTTATAGTTAGGTTTTAAGCCATTATAATAGGATTGACCGAAATTTCAATTAGTTTTTCCCGATGGATTTTTGGAATCCTTATTTTCTGTTGAAGTTGTGCCGGTTTAGTTCTCTTATTGTATGTTTTTCTCTGAAGGTGTGCTCTTATTAAATTCCCGAATTGTAAATTTTTTTTAGCTTGTGCTCATGTAGTGACTACATAGGAGCCTTTTAAGGTTTTGTTTTTGAAGGCAAACAACTTGTATTACAGAATCACTGAATCATTTGGAACAATATGGCATACAAGTTGACATGTATGTCCAGAAATCATTGAGACTCGAAGAGCGTAGCAAAACCTTAAAAGGCTCCTATGTAGTCACTACATGAGCACAAGCTAAAAAAAATTTACAATTCGGGAATTTAAGGTCGTGATGATTTTTTTCAGGAAGTCTAAAAATTGTTGACGCTCAAATTTGTTTTCGCAGTTTGTCTTTTGATTTCTTTTTAATTCTATTCATTTCCATTGCTAAAAGGAATACAAACCTCACTATTGAACAGCCAGTATAAAGCTTAAGATAAATTAGATCAAATTCTTATTTCGAAAGTGGATTTTTTTTCCAGATTTCAGTCGATTGAATTGTCTGCTATTTTTTTGCCTATAACTTTTCGGCTGCCTATATTTCTAGGTTTTGGTTGAAGCCATCTCGGTTAAGTTTTCGGCTTCTTTCCTTTCCCCCACATTAATTTGTCATAATATAATGAAATTTTGCATGGTGATCAAATTAGCTATTGCGAACACATTTTTTCATACATTACATCGTAACATCAATCATTCAGCCATAATGACACGCAAGACAATTGAGAAAATTGAAAAATTGAAATTTTGAGGGTAAACTGGAAAAGTGCCAGGTTTCTTAAAGGTGAATTTCATTATTCTAATGCCTACGCTTTGCAAGACTTTTAAAAATACTCTTGTGAGTTTCTCCTCTTGTGAGATTTGATAA